ATCAAATATTTTCTGTATAGTCTGCATTTCATCTTTAGGTTCATAATCTCTTACTCACTTTTAATTTTTGTAGAGTAAGATCTAGCCTTCATGCTGTATAGTCTATGGGTTTTGACAAATTCATGAGATCACATATCTACCATTGCAATATTATACATAATAGTTTTGTCATCCTTTAAAGCCTTCTACTTTTTACCCATTCAAACTATCTTCTTGCCAGATTCCTGGCAAATACAAAATTCCTGGCAAATACAAACTTTGTTTAATGTTTAGCCATCTCCAGATTAGCAAATAAATAATGTATTATGTAGCTTTATCAGATTTAACAATACACATTTAGATTCATTCATATGTTTTCATAGTTTGATAGCTCTTCTTTAAAATGGCTATATTATCCCATTATGTGAATTTACTACAGATTGCTTATTAACCTACAGAATAATTTTTGAATGTTTATAGTTTAGGGATAATGTGAATGAAGCTATTGGAATTATTCATGTGCAGTTTTCCTCACGGACATATTTTTACATTCAAATAAATGAACACTTAAAAGCAAGATTGCTGGATTGCATAGTCAAAGTACGTTGGAATTTGACTAAAATTGCCTCTTGGCATTTCTGTGAAATGGGGGACACTCAGCTGACCCTGCCTTCTTGCTGGGAGGAAGCCCAGTGTTCAGGGTGGGGCCACCTTTGTGGATCATGGCCCAGCTTTCACTCAACCGTTAGAGACAGCAGCCCACCCTGTGGATGCACATATAGGAATCAGATGCCCAGACGTGCATTGTCCAGGACCACAGAGCTGCTCAGGACTCAGGCAGGGAGGAGCACACTGAGGAGCAATTGCTGGGATAGACGAAGAAGGAGATTCTGGACAAATCCTAGATCCTCTTTTATGAGCAAATTATGATTTAATTTCCAAGAATAACATCTCACACATACACACAAAGGTTTTTAATATTTGTTGTGTTTTCCATGATAATCTCTTACAGTGTTTTTTTTTAATCTCTTACAGTGTTTTTAATATTTGTTGTGTTTTCCATGATAATCTCTTACAGTGTTTTATATATATTTAATATATTTATTCTATTTTAATTTCATTAAGGGTCCTCACTCCTTCATGTGTGTGTTACATTCCCTGGAACTATCACGTATTTTATGTACTTTTTATGTGAAGCTCCTGGTTGCAGTTGTCTGTGCAGCCAGCAGGCGGAGCAGAAGGAAACGAGTCACACTCCTGACCCTCCCTGCACAGCTGCAGGCTCCAAAGCAGAGGCCCCTGCTCTGCCCTTTCCCTGGGACAGCTTTCTTAACGATGGGTCTTGAGTTAATAAGAGTTTCTGTTTTAGGTGCGTGGGCCCAGGTGCAGCTACCAAATCAAGTGCAGGAGTCAGAATAAGCTTCCAAAACACAGTGTCACCTGACAGGTAACTGAGTCCATCCCTGTATTACCAGCTGACGTCCAGCTTCCTCGGAAGAGCCTCAGAATCATAAAAACTTCTCATATGTGTCCTGTGCTGTGGGTCTTCTGTGTCACTGCATGTTCAGCCGCATCCGTGTGGTGCCACTTACACTTAATGAGATGAGATTCCTGCTGTTGTGTCAGGTCAGTGGTGATCTCTGAAGCTACTCCTGGTTTTTGCTTTAATATGTAAAGAGCATGTCAATCATCACCCACATTCTTACAATAATACAAGCCTGGAAAATTATCAATGATTTATTGGATCTGTTGAATAAATGAAACTGCAAAGGAAACCAGGACCCAAAAACTAGAAAGACATTAAAATAAAGGTCATCAGACTGATGGAACAAACTTTCTGTGGCAAAAAAATATCAAATCATAAACAATACCTAAGGCCATGCCAGGCAAGGATTAAGTCATTCACCCCTACTCTTAAATAATAGACTATGTTGTAATTCCACAGGGATTTTTATTTTTCTCTAGCAGCCATACAAGCACTGATTCTGATATAAGCAATATTAAGACATTTATAGCTCATGGAACTCAAGGCATGGGGTAACTGTGCCCCTGTTTCACAGCCATAAATAGAGCTTTGATTGGACAAGAGACTGATTTCAGTAAATTTCTCCTGATAAGAGAACACTGACTGTGGATTATACTGGCCAATTTTTGAAGGCTGTGCACTGTGTGTCTTTCTGTCCCTGCACAAAGCCCTTTTGATGTACAAGGTCCAACTGTAATTTACTTAGTTTTAAGTCCTCACCCCAAAGCAATCATGAAATACATGTAATGGTTGTGTCTTCCTATTACACATGAGAGTTTGGCCACCCACCACTTGAATACCCATAGTTTCTTCTACAGCCTGTTGAGTGTGTACACTTGGTCAATCCATTCGCATGAGTTCATTTCTCATCTTTCCTTCTCTTGAAGTGCCTAATCACTGTCACTTTTCGGAGGCTTTGCTTCCCAGCCTGTTAAGTTGGCTGTTCTGCAGCTTCAACCCTTTATCAGAAATAAAGTTTCCTTTCTAAATTTATGAGTTGAGTGATTCCTCAGTTGACAGCACAAGCTGGTGGGACAGTTACATGGTAATTCCAGAAAAGCCTAGAGAACAGGTGTGGCCAGGAATAGGGTAATAACTCCTGGGGATTGCACATCCCACACACTTTCATGGAATTTCCCTCCAGAAACTACTAGGTTCACAAGATGGGACTCCAAACAGATTCCCTCATGGCTCTGTTCACCAGGAAATATATTCCTGATAAATGTGCCCAGAACTTTCTCCAGACAGACCCTAAAGAGAAAAAAATATTTTTCAAGATCTCTATTCTATGTGAGGGGAAGGGATTCTTCTCCATCACAGACAGTTTCATCTTAGAGTTTCTGTGTCATGAAAAGGGGTACAATTAATAAAACAACTGGGGTCAAATTCAAGAAAATAATATGTGGATACTGCAGCCAGGAGGGGGAGTAGAGGATGGAGGAAAATCAGCTGAACCACTGGAGACGCCTCATAAAGGGCACAGCATAGAGAAGAAACAGCAAGAAAACATTGGAATTCAATTTCCAGAACATATCTTGCTCCCCTGCCCATCATATCACCTCCTCAACAATATGATTAATCTGGATTAAAGAGAAAAGTGTGGCAATGAAGACTCTGTCTGAGGACTAAAATTTATGGAAACCAAAGGCAGCGGGAGACAACAAGTCAAGGACAGTGAAGGGATTTAAATCCTCTGAGACCAACAGCTTCAGGACCAAGATCATGGCCCCTCCCTCAATGGCCTTAGATTTACCTCTCATGGGGCATCTGCAGGGCTCCGGGTGAGAAGGGGCAAAAACAAGGTTAAGACACTTTCCAAATCTCCAGTAGTACTGAGTTTGCTTTAGCTCTGTTTGGAAAAACAAAACAAAACAACCACCACCACAAATATAACCAGTACTAAGCTCAGTTTTGGAAGCACTTTTTTTTTTTTTTTTTTTTTTTTTTTTGAGGCAGAGTCTTGCTCTGTCACCCAGGCTGCAGTGCAGTGGTGTGATCTCAGCTCACTGCAACTTCTGCATCCCATGTTAAAGCAATTCTCGTGCCTCAGCCTCCTGAGTACCTGGGACTACACATACACCACCACCCATAGCTAATTTTTGTATTTTTAGTAGAAATGAGGTTTCACCATGTTAGCCATGACAGTCTTGATATTCTGACCTCGTGATCTGCCGACCTTGTGATCTGCCCACCTCCGCCTCCCAAAGTACCAGGATTACAGGCATGAGTCACCGTGCCTGACCAGAAGCACTTTTCTTCGGCAACACCCTAGAATGGAGGGCAAATTTGAGGCTTGTTACTGTGATATATGGCACTCTGATTGTGTGTGGGGGCCTTTGAGACATAGGGTCTGTGAGTAAAGTTAAACTATGATGTGATTTTTGACCAAAGAATCCTAAAACAATGTGTCTGCCCCAAAGTCCCCATCAGTTCCTGGACTTGCCATATGCCTGTTTCATATCAGTGCATTTGGAGCTTAAGCGAAGCTGTTTCCCTAAGTTCTAGTCCTGAGACAGAGTCTGTGCTTTGCCACACTTTTCTTTTTAATCCAGATTAATCATTATTGGTAAGGAGATGATGTGGTAGGCAGGGGAGAAGTATATTTTCTGGAAATTGAATTCCTTGCTTGCTGTGCTAAGGTGACCCTGTAGATTATGTTGGGTTTTCTAAGGTCTATTTCCCATTGTAAGAGGTGGTGTGAGAAGTAATTTCTGCCATGGAAGGAGCATCCTGAGACAGGGAACAGCCACTTCATACTGTGCTTGAGATGCTTGGAGACTTCTCCGTGAGCTCAGACAGGAACTTCCCTGCAGGGCAGGAGCTGAGCTGCAGGGGTGCACTCAGGATGCGCCCAGCACAGGACCCAGCCCTGGAACAGGTGCACAGTAGGAGGGGAGGGTTTTTTCCCTCTGGGATTGAACATTCGTTTTTTCAAATCAGTAATGACATAAAATTTAAATAAGAATTTAGTAAGTACTGATATGTCTTTAGGTATTCTCTCACATATGCAGCCTATACCTAACCCAATAATTTAGCAAACCAAACTTCAAAGGAGAAATGTCTAGGCCTTTCAAATGTAATTATAGTTAGGAACTGAGGGGTGATTTTATTAATTCAGTGGGTGTTACTATCAGGAGACACACTCATCCCAGAAGTTAGATGTGCAGAGGGCAAGGCCCAGGAAATGCTCAGTTTGTAAGTGTGCCATAGGAACAAGGACTCACACTGAGGACCATGTTCTGTGAGACTCTGGGTTTCTGGAGAGGGATTCTGTCTTCATGGACTTCTGAGAACACCAGAGGACAAATATCATTAAACAAATTTCCAGGCAGGAAGCTCAGCATCCCACTGTGGCATGGTCCAGGTGCCAACTCTCTTCTTCCTCAGGGTGGGGTGGCTTGAGCTATGAAACACCTGCCTCATGAATATGCAAATTCACTGGTGTCTACCGAGGTAAATACAGATCTGTCCTTGCCCAGAGAGCATCACACAACAACCACATCCCTCTCCTACAGAAACCCCAGAGCACAGCACCTCACCATGGACTGGACCTGGAAGATCCTCTTCTGGGTGGCAGCAGCTACAGGTAAGAGAATCCTCAGTTCTAGGACTGATATAGGAACTGGGTCCGGTCAGGTGAGATCTCACCCACTCCTGTAACCTCTCCACAGGTGTCCACTCTCAAGTGCAGCTGGTGCAGTCTGGGGCTGAGGTGAAGAAGCCTGGGGCTTCCATGAAGGTCTCCTGCAAGGCTTCTGGATACACCTTCACTGACTACTACATGAACTGGGTGCGACAGGCCCCTGGAAAAGGGCTTGAGTGGATGGGAGATATTGATCCTGAAAATGGTGAAACAAGCTATGCACAGAAGTTCCAGGGCAGAGTCACCATGACAGCAGACACGTCCACAAGCACAGCCTACATGGAGCTGAGAAGCCTGAGATCTGAGGACACAGCCGTGTATTACTGTGCAAGATACACAGTGTGAAAAACACATCCTGAGAGTGTCAGAAACCCTGAGGGAGGAAGCAGCTGTCCTGGGGCTGAAGAGATGACAGGACATATGAGGTTTAAACGTGTTTAGAAAATGGGTTAAGTTATGAATGAAAAGAAGCAATAGAAGGATGTATACACTCTGATTGTATAGAAACAGTATTTCAACTTCCATCCTGTAAGTAACACCCACAGAGTGGGAAAGGCAGCAATCAATCCAGCTGATGCAGACATTCCCCTGGAGGCTTTATGGGGCATAGGGTTTAAAATCAAATGTATAAATCATTAGGAACAAGATTGCTGCATCACATGGTAAGACTAAATATAATTTATAAGATGTGGCCAAATTTTTCCAAAATGTCTTAGCCCCTCTTTTTACATTGAATTCATTTTATAGCAGTTTTAGGGTCACAGCAGAGCTGAAGAGAAGAAGCAAAGTTCCCGTGTACTCCTGCCCCACACGGGCTCAGCCTTCCCTGCTGTCAACACCCTGCACCAGAGTCATAAAGCAGTTACAGTGGATGAAACTACACAGACACATTGGTCGTTTCCTTTTCTGGTGGTCCCTTGTGCAACAAGCCCCAATTATCTGGAAGCATCCCAGATTCTTCAACTGGGTTACTGGGAATGATGCCAGGCAGAGGGAAAGTGGGTGGGCCATTTCCCTTTACATTCTTTCCTCAAGGGTCCAAAAAACGCACATTGACTTGGGGATCCTCTTTCTCCTGGTTTTCTATGTCCCTTCCTAGAGGGTACGGTCTCCAGGCATTTACAGCAGGAGTTGCCAAAACCCAGGCTGTGGACTCCTTAAGGTGTGCAGTGTGTTAGGAGCCGGGCCGCACAGCAGGAGATGAGTGGGAGCCTGTGAGCATCATTGCCTGAGCTCCCCCTGCTGTCAGATCACTTGTGCATTAGATTCTCCTAGGAGCCGTATTCTATTGTGAACTGCGCATGCAAGAGATCTAGGTTGAGTGCTCCCTATGAGAATTTAATGCCTCATGAATGTAGATGCAACAGGTTTATCCCGTAACCACCCACCATCATCATCCATGGGAAAATTGTCTTCCGTGAAACTGTTCTCTGGTGCCAAAAATGTTAGGGACCAATGGGGTAGAGGCAGGTCTGTGCAACTGAAATGCCAGCAGCTTCTAGTGAATCCCATAATTAATGTCATTTAATGAGCAGTGGAGACTTTTGTCATGAGAGGCTTTTGGAATAATTCCTTTCAGCTGGATTCCAAACACTATAAGCTCTTGGGGTGTTTCTAGGTAAAGCCCTTTGTGCAGAAAATGCAAACATATGCATGGGATGCAGGCAGTAACAAAGCTTCCCTTACAAAGTGGTTTGGCACCTGGAATGAGCCCTCAGGTTTGGGCACTGGATCCCTTGCTGGCTGCACTTCAGCCAGAGGCCTCAGCCTGATTGGTCTTGCAGTAGGAGCGCCTCAATGGTGTCACGGGTTACAAAAATGCCTGTCATCCTCCAGCTGAGCAAGCCCATCTGCCTGCTTGTCAGTGTCAACCTCACGATGGGTGCACTCTGGAAGATGGCAAGATGCACACAAACCTCCTCCCACTAATTATACACTACTACACACTCAACTGCAACCTGTGCTCTAGAAAGGGACAGGCGCCTGCAGGGATAAACAGAATGTAAATATTGTCTTACCTGGGAAAGACACTGCCAAATATCACATGTTTCAGGAAGGTTAACTCATAAATATTCAGGAGGTGACTGAAGGGGAATGGTGAGTGAGGTGACGTGACAGCCTCAGGGCCGCACCTGAGGAGGGCTCCCTCCCCCATGCAGACTTTTCCTCCAGGACCCGCACCAGGAACTCATACAGGATCATGAAGTACTCTGAGAACATTATTCTGTGATGCTACCTAAAGGGAGAAGATAAATTACACAAAAGCAATCAATTCTAAACAAAATATGGCATTTGTTAATGGAGACTATTTCTGAAACCTGTGGGAATCTTGATATCAGCCACCATTATCTGTGAACAAACATTTAAACCCTCCTTCCATGGGGAGGTTGACTAGGTTGGATCTGTTCTTTCATGGATAATCCCCAAACTCTTCTCTACTCCCTGCATATCCTGATCTCTCAGTGACAAGTTTTCCTCAGCAGAATGTGGTTGAGGTAGTGAGATCTTCAATTTTCCTGTCTTCTGTGTTCTCACGTTTCTCTCTTCATCTGAGCTTTAGAAACTCGCCTGCATGTAGTACACGACAGCCCAATGTCTCTCATGGACAAAATAGTGGCCAAAAAACCAACCCCGTGGATTCTTGTGACCATTGGCAGCCACCATCCCCTCCACAGCCCTGTCGGGACATCAAGTGAGTAATTGTGTTAGCAACTTTCTGTGAGAATCATCTTAAAAATGCTGTGTCCCATTTCACATGAAGATGTCATCCATCCATTTTTCTCTTCATTGAAAAATAGAAGGAGATGAATACCAAATACACATCATATCTCCAGATTATTCAAATATAAATGTTGCTTTATCATCTTCGTATTTTTGGTCCACACAGAACATTCCACAATTTTTTCTCACTGGTGTTATACCAAAACTGTTATATATTCCAGATACTGAAATAATTTTAACCTACATTATTATTCTAATAATTCTAAGAATTTAGAATTACAATTATCTGCACTGTGGAGGTTGTCACCTGGCCTCCTTCAGGTCCTAGATAGTGGAGGCCTCAGGAACTGTTTCTCATTTGTAATGCATTTGCCTCAGCAGATTTTGCATTGGGTTATTCAGTTCACCCTTCAAGTTAGTAGGTGGCTTTACAGATTCTAGCTGACTGTGGTGGAAGTAAATGAGTCATGCTTGATATCTGTGCACAGGGAAAAGTTCTGTGTCGCCTCAGGCAATGGACTGGTCTGTTGCACAGTGTACAGTAACCTGAGTTCTCTGCTCAGCCCCTGAGAGGGGGACAAAGCTGGACAGATGTGAGCCACCAAGCCTGACAAGCAAAAGCAGTAGCCTTGACAGAAATGGCCAGGTGAAGAGCATCTACTCTGTATGATTTCTTTTGTATTAATAGCTTCAGCGTGGTGGCTTTTTCAAATTCCAGTAGTAGTAATATACTGGGCATGTGAGCAGCCCATGGTCTTCTGCGGAGCTGTAATCACCGAAGTACTGAGACGCGAATCTAGTTTTCACGTGCTGTGCACTGGTGGTGGTGACTCTGTATTAGGTCGTGCAGTTTCACCGTCAGGCCAGTAGGTGGTGCATGAAGGTAAGAGCCGGCTATGGTGGCAGTAGGAGGGTTTATGCTTCACCCGTTTTAGTGGGAAATTTGTCCTTTTCCAGATCCAAGAGGAAAGACTTTTATTTATTTATCATCCCATATGATACTACATGAAAGTCTCTCGAATATAACCTTTATTATGTAGAGATGTGTTCCTTCTATACCCTTTTTTTTTTTAAGAATTTTCTTTTTCTTTTTCTTTTCTTTTCTTTTTCCTTTTTTTTATTGCATTTTAGGTTTTGGGGTACATGTGATGAACATGCAAGATTGTTGCATAGGTACACACTTGGCAGTGTGGTTTGCTGCCTTCCGTGCCCTCACCTGTATCTGTCATTTCTCCCCATGCTATCTCTTCCCACCTCTCCCCCCCCCGCCCCTCCCCCATTTCCCCCCAACGGACCCCAGTGTGTAGTGCTCCCCTCCCTGTGTCCGTTTGTTCTCATTGTTCAACACCCACCTATGAGTGAGAATATACGGTGTTTGATTTTCTGCTCTTGTGTCAGTTTGCTGAGAATGATGGTTTCCATGTTCATCCATGTCCCTACAAAGGACGTGAACTCATCGTTTTTGATGGCTGCGTAATATTCCATGGTGTATATGTACCACATTTTCCCTATCCAGTCTTTCATCGTTGGGCATTTGGGTTGGTTCCAGGTCTTTGCTATTGTAAACAGTGCTGCAATGAACATTCGTGTGCACGTGTCCTTGTAGTAGAATGATTTATAATCCTTTGGATATATACCCAGTAATGGGATTGCTGGGTCAAATGGGATTTCTATTTTTAGGTCCTTGAGGAATCGCCACACTGTCTTCCACAATGGTTGAATTAATTTACATTCCCACCAACAGTGTAAAAGTGTTCCTATTTCTCCACATCCTCTCCAGCATCTGTTGTTTCCCGATTTTTTAATGATCGCCATTCTAATTGGTGTGAGATGGTATCTCAATGTGGTTTTGATTTGCAAATCAACGTGCAAAAATCACAAGCATTCCTATACACCAGTAATAGACTTCAAGAGAGCCAAATCAAGAACGAAGTGCCATTCACAATTGCTACAAAGAGAATAAAGTACCTAGGAATACAACTAACAAGGAACGTAAAGGACCTCTTCAAGGAGAACTACAAGCCATTGCTCAACGAAATAAGAGAGGATACAAACAGATGCAGAAACATTCCATGTTCATGGTTAGGAAGAATCAACATCGTGAAAATGGCCATACTGCCCAAAGTAATTTACAGATTCAACGCTATTCCCATCAAGCTACCAATGACCTTCTTCACAGAACTGGAAAAAAACACCGTAAACTTCATATGGAACCAAAAGAGAGCCCGCATAGCCAAGTCAATTCTAAGCAAAAAGAACAAAGCAGGAGGCATCACACTACTGGACTTCAAACTATACTACAAGGCTACAGTAATCAAAACAGCATGGTACTGGTACCAAAACAGAGATATAGACCAATGGAACAGAACAGAGGTCTCAGAGGAAATACAACATACCCACAACCATCTGATCTTCGACAAACCTGACAAAAACAAGCAATGGGGAAAGGACTCCCTGTTTAATAAATGGTGTTGGGAAAACTGGCTAGCCATGTGCAGAAAGCAGAAACAGGACCCCTTCCTGACACCTTACACCAAAATTAACTCCAGATGGATTAAAGACTTAAACATCAGACCTAATACCATAAAAACCTTACAAGAAAATCTAGGCAAAACCATTCAGGACATAGGTGTAGGCAAGGACTTCATGACCAAAACGCCAAAAGCAATGACAACAAAAGCCAAAATAGACAAATGGGACCTAATCAAACTCCACAGCTTCTGCATGGCAAAAGAAACAGTCAGTAGAGTGAATCGGCAACCAACAGAATGGGAAAAAATTTTTGCAGCCTACCCATCTGACAAGGGGCTGATATCCAGAATTTACAAAGAACTAAAGCAGATCTACAAGAAAAAAACAAACAAGCCTATTCAAAAATGGGCAAAGGATATGAACAGATTCTTTACAAAAGAAGACATACAGGAGGCCAACAAACATATGAAAAAATGCTCATCATCACTGGTCATCAAAGAATTTTCTTTTTCATAAAAGAATGTTTAGTTTCATCAAATGCTTTTTCAGCATCAATTGAAAAAAACATATGTGGATTAAAGATCTAAATGTAAAACCTAAAACTATAAAAACTCTGGATAAAACCTAGGAAATACAATTTAGGACATAAGAACTGACAAAGACTTTATGATGAAAATGCTAGAAGCAATTTAACCAAAATCAAAAATTGACAAATGGGATCTAAGTAAACTGAAGAGCTTCTGTATAGTAAAAGATACTGTGAACAGAGTAAACAGGAAACATATAGAATGGGAAATAAAATATTTGAAACCTGTACATCTGACAAAGTACTAATATTTAAAACTTAAATGGAACTTAAACAAACATACAAGAAGAAAAGTGGCCATAAAGCATAAAAAAGACCCTTAAAAAAAGACCTAAATGTGGCCAAAAAGCATAAGAAAAAATGCTGAATATCACTATTGTTAGAGAAACACATATCAAAACCACAGTGAGGTACCATCATACATAAGTCAGAATGGCTAATTAAGAAAATAAATAACAGAGGCTGCTAAGGTTGCAGGATAAAAGGGAACATTTACACACTTCTGGTGGGAATATAAATTAGTTCAACCATTGTAGAAAACAGTGTGGTGATCTCTCAAATAATCTAAAACAAAAGTTTCATTTGACCCACCAAACCCACAGCTGGACAAATGTTTAAAGGAATAAAAACATGTAGGTTCATTGCAGCACTATTCACAATATCATAGTCATGGAATTCACCTAAATGCTCATCACTGGCAAAATGGATAGAGAAAAATGTGGTGCATATACACGTGGACTACTATGCAGCTAAGAAAAGAAAGAAATTTTATCCCTTGAAGGAACGTGATGGAACTGGAGGTCATTACTCTTAGCAAACGAATGTAGGAACAGAAAAAAGATAATATATGTTCTCATTTATTTGTGGGAGATAAATAATGAGAAATACTCTCTTAGGGCTTGAGTCTTCCTTACTTTAAAAAAATCATTCTAAATAAGTGTACACAAGTTGCTGATATGCATTTATTTTTTCTGGACCATTTATATCACTTAATAAAGCAATGAGAACTATATTTAAAAGTGGGATTCTATTATAATAATTATCCTAATAGTAAGAATATGAAAGATATGGATGGTTTTATTAATTCAATAGGTACATAGCTGTGGGAGACACTATATTCCAATGAATAAGATATTCAGATTTCAGAGCTAAGTAATGTTTCCTACGTTGTGTCTGTGACTCGGCAGTGGTGGATTCCAGACTGCGGCAGGTGCACAGACCAAGAAGATCAGAAATCAATATGGAAAGACAATGATCTATGGCTATGAATGAAAAGTATGTATATACTTCAAATAATTCTATTTAATGGAGTTTGAAATAAAACCCAACTTATTCAAAATGCAAAATACTTGGTAATTATTTGAGGACCTATGAAGTCATCGAAAAACTCAAAAACCTATTCCTATTTCAAATCCTGATTTCTTCTGTCAGTGGGAGGGAAAACTTAGAACCCATCACACATTACAGGGCAAACCTGTAAACCAAGAGTCTTTCCATTTAAGGGCCTGGGAGCTCAGGACTCTCAGGCAGGTGCTGGGGAGTGCCCAGCAGATCTCAGAACTGTCCATCGGCCCTGCTGAACACTCATGTGGATAACCATTGGCCACTTTTCGGTGTTACCAGTGAGCTCTGACTGTTCCTAATGGGACCAGGATGGAGTCAAGGTCCCTGCTCAATGTCAGAGACAGTGATGGCCCCAGATACAATCCAGGTAATCTCTATGCCAATAAAATGTGGGTTCACAGTGAGGAGCACATCCTGGAGTGGGGCTTGTTCTTCAGTGGGAAGAATGCTGCCCACAGAAAGCTTAGAAATGGGGCAGGGGATGCATTTCCTCAGGCAGGATTAGGGCTTGGTCTCTCAACATCCCACTCTTGTATGGCTGAGGTGGCATCTGTGTTTTCCTTCTCATCCTAGTTCAGGCTTCAAGCTGTGAAATACCATGCCTCATGAATATGCAAAAAACCTGAGGTCTTCTGAGATAAATATAGATGCGTTGGTTCCCTGCAAGCATCACCCAACAACCACATCCCTCCTCTGAAGAAGCCCCAGTGGGCAGAGCTCATCACCATGGACTGGACCTGTAGGATCCTCTTCTTGGTGGCAGTAGCTACAGGTAAGGGGCTTCCTAGTCCCAAAACTGAGGAAGGGATCCTGGTTCAGTCAACAAGGATTTTATTCACTCCTGTGTCCTCCCCACAGATGCCCACTCCCAGGTGTAGCTGGTGCAGTCTGGGGCAGAGGTGAAGAAGCCTGGGGCCTCCGTGAAGGTCTCCTGCAAAGTTTCCGGATACATCTTCACCAGCTATGGTATGGACTGGGTGCGACAGGCCCCTGGCCAAGGGCTCGAGTGGATGGGTTTTATCAACACCAACACTGGTGGCACAGACTATGCACAGAAGTTCCAGGGCAGGGTCACCATGACCATGGACACGTTCACAAGCACAGCCTACATGGAGCTGAGCAGCCTGAAACCTGAGGACATGGCTGTGTATTACTGTGCGATATACACAGTGTGAAAACCACATCCTGAAAGTGTCAGAAACCCTGAGGGAGGAGGCAGCCATGCTGGGCTGTGGAGATAAAAGTGGTTATTAAGTTCAAGGCTGTTTACAAAATGGATTATATATTTGAGAATAAAGAACAATAGAAACAAGTACACACTCTCATTTTAAGAGAAATATTCCATTCAATTATCATCATATAAGTCAAATTCACAGAGTGGGAAAGGCCACACTCAATACAGTTGATTCAAACATTCCATGAAGGTGGTACTATGAACAAGGTTTCAAATTAGAGAAATAAATAATTTGCAGCAAGGTTATTTGATCATGTTTTAAGACTAAGTATGATTCTTCAAATAGTGACAGAGATTTCTTTCAAATGTTGTCACTCCATATCACAAAATCTATTTTAGAGCAGTTTTAAAATTACAATGAAATTGTTTGGAGGATTTGAGAATTCCGATGAGTCCCTGCCCTAGTGGATCTCTCTTCAGTTTATCTTTTGAATACTTAGGTAACATTACAAACTAGTATAAAGCTGCCTATTCGGCAAAACGGTCTGCTGCAGAATGTTCATCTTCTATGTATCTCTTTTGCGGTAAATCTAAGTTTATATTAGTCGTGCATCCAGAATATAGAAATATGTCCTAATGTTCTTTTATTTTTAAAAAGTTTGTAGGGTTTCCAGAAGGTGTGAGAATTCTCCTTACTTATAAAATACCTGATTCCATATTGTTAAATAGTTTCCTCTTTGCCTATCTCCTCTCACATTATATTACATTAAGCAAGGATAAATCAAAACACGCCATCCATACTTTACTCAGAAATCTCCTCAATGAAATTTTAATTGGCACTTGACATTAGAGATATGCAAATTAAAAACACATTGAGATACCATCTCATGCCAGTTAGAATGATTATTATGAAAAAATCTGGAGACAACAGATGCTGGAGAAGATGTGGAGAAATAGGAACACTTTTACACTGTTGGTGGGAGTGTAAATTAATTCAATGATTGTGGAAGATGGTGTGATGATTCCTCAAGGATCTATAAATATAAATACCATCTGGCCCAGCAACCCCATTGCTAGGTATACACCCAAAGGATTATAAATCATTCTATTACAAAGATGTATGCGCATGTATGTTCATTGCAGCACTATTTACAATAGCAAAGACTTAGAACTAACCCAAATGCCCATCAATGATAGACTGGATAAAGAAAATGTGCCACATATACAATGTGGAATACTATGCAGCCACAAAAAAAGGATGAGTTCATGTCCTTTGCAGGAATATGGATGAAGCTGGAAACCATCATTCTCAGCAAACTGACACAAGAACAGAAAACCAAACACTACATGTTCTCATTCATAAGTGGGTGTTGAACAATGAGAACACATGGACACAGGGAGGGGAACATCACACACTGGGGCCTATTGTGGGTAGGGGTGCTAGGGGAGGGATGGGGAAATTGGGGAGGGATAACATTAGGAGAAATACCTAATGAAGGTGACGTGGGGAATGGATGCGGCAAATCACCATGGTGTGTGTATACCTATGCACAATCCTGCAAGGTCTGCACATGTACCTTAGAAATGAAAGTATAACTAAAAAGAGAGATCACAAAGAAAATTTAAGTGTCACTAATTTTAATTTTATCCAATGTAACCTAATTAAGATAAATTCTGTAACAAGGTACACATGCTTTTGAGGATACAGTACCATGTTTGTGACAGAAATAAAGCAGGTGTGTTCTCTGAAATGTGGTCATCTGAGGCCTGAGATGAGGGGGCTACACAGGTATTGTTCTGGTTTCTAAGGGTGGGGAAAGCAATAGCGATAACAACTCCAAACAACACTGGCTCCTATCTAAAGGGTTACAGGTAAACTTACTGCTGCAATTTTGTATTAACACCTTGTTAGAATGAAGCTCAGAGGAAAAGGCCCCATCCTAGGTCACAAAGTGAGGAGGAATGGAGCTGTGCTCTGCTCTGCACACTACTTACAACATCCCAGGCAGAATTCAGGTTCCACTGACGCATGGCATCTAGAGTGCAGTTCTCAGGGGGATGATCTTAGGGCACCTGCTTCCTGAGGCAGGATGTTTCCTTCTCTCAATTGTGCACTTGCTCCTTCTGCAAACTATGGAGTGAGCACTTGCATTTCCATGAATTATGCATGTGCTCTCCCCTAACATGGCAAATATATATATATATATATATATATATATATATATATATATATATATAAAATTTTCAGTTTTATTTCCTCTGAAGCACATTGGGTGAGCAGAAAGAAATAAATCACATTCCTTATCCTCCCTCACAGCCAAAGATTCTTGAAGATAGAGCTGATGTAATGTACTCATAGGCAGATCTCTGCCCCTCAGAGGTGGTCTTAGTCTTCAAGTTTAGCAATTCTGGGAAGCCAAGGACACCTTCATCTCCTGCTCCCTGCTCTGAAACTCACTTGGAAATGGCTTTCTCATTGGAATATCTTGTGTTTAAGGAATAAGAGAACCTGTTTCAGGTTTAGGCCTGGCCTGGGGCTGCCATGTAGCTGAATCCCAGCCATGCTTGCTGTAGAATAATTTAATTCTAATAAATGGAGTTAAAAACTAACCCAAAATTATTCAAAACACAAATTTCTTGACAATTACTCTGTGAGTAGAGAGTTTATAAAGAAATCCAAACTCCTGTTTTATCTTCTGATACCCATTGTCTGTGAGATGAGAAAACCAGCCCTAATTATGCATCATGGGGAAAATCTGTAAACCAAGAGTTTCTACTGAAGAGCCTGGAGGATCAGGACACCAGGCAGGTGCTGGAGACACTGTCAGGAGTGCAAAGTAGACCTCAGAGGGACCTGCTGGACACTCACTTGGGGCATCAGCAGTCACTTTCTCAGAGTTGCCAGTGAGCTGTGCTGCTGCCTGATGAGTCCAGGACAGGGCCAAGGCACCTGCTCAGTGCCATGGAGAGTGACAGTTCCAGAAATCATCCAGGTGGTCTCCATGATAATCAGATTTAGATTCCAGTGAGGAGTGTATTTTCTATGGGCTTATTCTTCAGGGAAAGGACCTCTGCCACAGATATTTGTAAATGGAGAATGGCATGGATTTTCTCAAGCAGGATTAGAGCTTGGACCATCAGCATCTCACTCTTGTATGGCTGATGTGTCATTTATCTTCCCTTTCTTATCATAGATCTGGCTTTGATCTATGAAATCCTTTGCTTTATGAATATGCAAATAACCTGAGATTCACTGAGGTAAATATGGATATGTCTGTGCCCTGAGACCATCACCCAACAACCACATCCCTCCTCTAGAGAAGCTCCTGTGAGCTCAGCTCCTCACCATGGACTGAACCTGGAGGATTCTCTTCTTGGTGGCAGCAACTACAGGTAAAGGGCTCTTAAGTCCCAGTGATGAGATGGAAACTGAGTTCAGTCAAGGGGGCTTTCATTCACTCTTGTGTCCTCCCCACAGGTGCCCACTCCCAGGTGCAGCTGGTGCAGTCGGGGGCTGAGGTGAAGAAGCCTGGGTCCTCAGTGAAGGTCTCCTGCAAAGCTTCTGGATACACCGTCACCAGCTACTATATGCACTGGGTGTGACAGGCCCCTGGACAAGGGCTTGAGTGGATGGGAGTGATCTACCCTAGTGATAGTAACACAAACTACACCCTGAAGTTCCAGGGCAGAGTCACCATGACCAGGGACACATCCACGAGCACAGCCTATGTGGAGCTGAGCAGCCTGAAATCTGAGGACATGGCCATGTATTACTGTGCGAGACACACAGTGTGCAAACCACATCCTGAGAGTGTCAGAAAAACCCAAGAAGGGGGCAGCTGTGCGGGAATGAAGGAGACGACAAAGATTATTAAATTAAAGACGTTCTTAGCAAATGGCATTAAGTCATTAAACAATGAACCATATTAATGTGTATTAGAGAAATTTTAATTACTTGAGAGATTTTTCATACATTTGTTCTGTAAGCAAATTTCAGGGATTAGAGAATGAATCACAGTAACAAATCTGATACAGAACTTGCTCTAAACATATCTTTGTAAGCATCAATTTCTGAATCAGTGATGTAAATAGTTTGGAATGCAAACACAAGTTCACATATTAAATCTATGTTTCTTTATAATGAAAATGCCAAAAAGTCTCATTTTGTGCATGTAGCATTTTGAATTTCCACCATCAATGCATGATAGTTCTTGGTTTTCCACATTGAAATGGCCATTTGTTATTATGAGAATAACCATGCTAATAGGTGAGTAATGTCATCTAATTTTTATTTAAATGCAATTGTCCCCAATAAAAAATTCATATTTAATAATTTTATATAATTTTTGGTGAGATGCCTCTCCTGATAGTTGGTTCATTTTTAACTGCATAGTTTTATTTTTGATTAGTGGTCAGTTTACTTGTATATTGATTATAGATTCATTTACTGAATGAAAAGTATTCATTTAACAAATAGGTGCCTTGAAAGTATTTTCTCCAAGTCTGTGGCAGCCTTTTACACCTTTATCAGTGGGCACTACAGAAAAATATGTGTGTGTGTTTGCACAAATTTAGATAAAAACATTACAAATTTTATTCACTCGTAGATTTTCTTTGGCATTATATCTGAAGTCTCATTATAAAACGGGATAACAGTCATCATTTTTCTTCATGTCTCTAATCTCAGGCCACAATCAAATCATGAGGTTTAACCTTACCTACCTGATTGGAGGACTATCCATCTAAGGTATTTGGAATGCTGTAAGGAGATGTGTTCTTCTTCCCATTATTTCTTTATTTAATCATCTATTAATATCCGTACTGGTTTATGGATGTCTATTTCATACTCTGAAGTGGATCTATGCTACCTTACTCATTTTATTGTTGAAATCACCACAGATTTACCAGGCGCTGGGAGCTCATTAGTTTGGATCCTGCATCCTTACAGCACACCTCATCCTTTGGTTTTTGAACACTTCCCTGCTTCCTGGTAATACAATAAATTCTAAGCTTGTTTTCTATGTTACATTTTTATAATAGAATCAATCATTTTTCTAAAGATTTCTTGTTTCTGATTTTAAAGAATAGTATTAAAATAAAAAACGGTGACACTGAGTGTGTTGTTAATGTGGTATGACTACCTGTAGGGCCTCTCCACCAACTGAGCTAGTAAATGTGCATGTTTACATGAGCTCATGTTTATGGGCACATAGAAACTATTTATGTATCTAGTGTCCTGTAACTTCATAACATTAATAATGAGAACGCTCTGGCCTCTCCACCCAACTATGTCTCCACATGGACCTTTCTAGCCTTCTTTCCTTGACTGTCCATGACCACCCACTACAAAGTGAGGAACCCCATCCCGCAATATGCCATTGTATTACTTAGCTGCACAGTTTCAGGATACAGGAATGGCCGTATCAGAAAAGTAAAGTTGTACCCTAGTAGGAAACATGTTTATCTTCTAGGATAGAGTGGTTTTGTGTGGTTTCTTTTCCCTTTAAACTTACAGAAATTCCTTATTTTCAAAGTTCCTTAGGTCAGTAACTTCATTTTCCACTTTCTTCAGAGAAGTCATTTCTGTGACACAGTATAGTTTCATTTATTTGAAATTCTAAAAAAGCCAAAACTACAGACAAATATACAGACAAGATATTCAGGAAGTTAGAGAGTGTGTGTAAAATAAGTAAACCTGGCACTGTGTAGGAAGAGTAAGACTATTTTTAATGATACACTATGGTGGAGACATGGCACAATTAATTTGTCTAAGCTCATAACTTTGTGGTGAGAAATATAAACATAAATATTTAAAAATTAAATATATCTTTAGCAATTTATTAAGCCCTGAATTAAATGCAGACTGTGTAAAATTATCTAACAACTTATTTGGGAGTTTGGATGTGGTATGAGATGCACGCAACAAAGAATGAAGTCATGCTCTTCACTTGCATATACAGCATTTCCATTCACTAAATACCTTTTATTTATTTTAAAAAAAATTCTACTTGATGCAGGTTTTTTCTTCATGACAAGCAAATAACCAAGAGGATCCTTTCCTTTCCTTGATTGAGAAAGATTTCCCACAAAGTTCAGTTTAGTTCAGACATACACTGTCCCTGAATGGGCATTTACCCTCAGATGGGTGCACACACCTGTCAACACACGGACTCTTCTGTCAGAGAAACACACCTTTGCTCTTGTGGATTCTTCCCTCAGACAAACACAGCTGTCCCCACATGGACTCTTTCCTAGACTACCACATATGCCCTCACATTTACTCTTTCCTTAGGAAACCAACATTTCCTCATGTGGACTCTTGCCTCAGACAAGCAAACATGTCTCCATGTGAACACTCAGAAAAGTATACGTGTTTCCACACCTACTGTTCCCTGACACAAGCACATATATCCAACATTGAATGGCTTTATGGCAAAATGAACTCAAGATAATGAAACGGTAAATGCCCTCCATGACAAGGTGTAGATCTGCATTTTTTTTTTCATTTTAACTTAACTTTGCCTCATTTTCAGGAAAAGTGGTTTGCAGTTCTAAATGCACTGATTACAGACAGATGTGAATTTTCTCAGGAAATCTATTTCTTAGGTTCTTAGTGGACTTATTTGCTGATAATGTTTGCTACTGTGAAGATACCTGGACAGTGTCCACATTAGAGAACAAGAAAGAGTAATGGGCAGATTAACCCTGTGGATCCAGATCCAGGAATCCTATGACCCTGCCCTCCCTGAAATGGAGACACAGGATGGATGAGCAATGCTGAGCGGTGCACCATGATCACAAAAAGAAAGACATGGAAAAGTGTCCCCTCCCCTCCGGATGAAAGGCAGCTCATCCCTGTTCCTTCAGGCCCTGGTGAGGAGCCACTCCATGTCTGTGCCCTTCCCCAGTGTCCACACCGTGAGGTCCGCACTGATCTGGATTCCCTTCAATATCAGGATCCCTTGTGGATCAGGTCCAGCTGTGGCTGCACCACATGGGGCTGTTCTCAGTCTGTTCCCTCTGTGTCTGCAGAAGTCTTGTGTGAAGTTAACTGGTGGAGTCTGGAAGGGGGGGGGGCGGAAATTGTACAGCCAAACAGTTCAATAAGCCTCTCCTGCAAAGCCTCTAGATCCACCTTTACTGATTGCAGCATAAGCTTGGTCCAGCACTTCAGTTTGTGTGGGTGGCAACAGGGAGAAATTCAAGAGGAAGTTCTCAGCGGTGCCCTCCATGGGTACACAGAAGCTTCACGGTCCCCAGAACTCCCTTACATACATGGTCTCACTGATATCTTTACTTCTTCTACCCTGTTTGCTCTGTAAATCACAATGATTGATGCTTTCTTCATCAGTTACATATTTGGTAAGGCTTTTTTTCGTGTCTTTTAAAACACTGGTAACTTTATCCTATATAATATCCCTGTTAAGACCTAAAAGTTTTTTTGATGTCTACTTTGTCTGAAATTTACACAGCTATCATAACTTTCTTTTGTTTCATATTTTCATAATCCATGTTTTCTCATTTTATCTTTTCTATTTCTGAATATGTAGGGTAACTTTCTTGTACATAGCTAATAGTTGGGTCTCACCTTTTTAAATCAACTATAATAAATTCTATTTTTAAACTAATATGACTTTTTTTCTGTTAAATTTGTTTAAATAAGCATTTCATAATGATGTTTACCTATTAATTTATTACTAAATTCCTTTTCTAACTGTTGTATTTGTTACTGTAAGGTTTACAATAAGAATTGTATGTAACCAGATTCTAATGCAAATACTGATATGATCTTGATATGAAGTACAGAGAGAGTATAACTGTGTGCTTTGAATTTCTCCTTCCCACCACTCTCTTGTTTATTCTCACTTACATACACTATGAAATGTAATATTTAATTTTTTATTGTTTTATAAGTTTCATATTATAGTAATTACAAAGATAAAAACTGCAATTCATCTTGATATTCCCATTTTTTACAATCTTAATTTCTTTGCATAGATTAATGTTTTGAATTCATATCACATGGTTACTAGCAGAGAAACTTTGTTAAAATGTGCACTGAAACATAAATGTGCTGACAGCAAATTGTGTCAAGATCTTTTTTAATGACAGAGTTTTATTTGCCTTTCACTTTTAATAAAATTGTAATGCCAGTAGAATTACAGTTAGCATTTCCTGTGCAATTTATTTTCTTTATGTATTATTTTCTTCCTAGACATGATCACATATTATATCTGCTGGGCCTTTATTACCGTGTTTCTGTGAATCTAGTCAGGGTTGGATTTCAAATTTATGTTTGCCAGGACTGTCAGAGTTGAAGTCAGCTTCTCCTCTTCACAAAATCTTCAGGTTCTTCTGGCACTACCTGCTTTTGTATTCCTGTTTGGGTTTGGGTCTTCACTTTTCATTTTCCCCAGAGCTTTTCAGCTGTGACAGGTGTATTCTACTGACAGTTTTACTTGATGACTGTTTGTGTGGTGAAGGGGCTTGAACACAGGGGGACATTTTCCAGCCTTCTGACTGAACCTCCTTGTTAGCTATGGTGGTGAGACTGGCTCTGAAGCACAGCCTTCCAAGCATTCCTGTTCCTTCCCTTCCCCAAGTGTCGGAGTGTCTCTTCCCGGCCACAGAGGTTTCTCATCAGTGTCCACAGCTTCTGACCCACTGTCCTTACCCCACAGATTCAGGATTTCATTTCTCAGGAAAGAAATAAGAGGTGTTTCTGGGTAGAGTTTCCCTGGTGTCCTGTGTTTCCTTGTGTTCTAGTTGATTTTATCAGTGCCCCAAGACACAAGATGTAATCAATGTTTCCCACATATAGTGAAGGGGCATTGATTGGAGGTGCTGTTCAACCTCCTCAGTCAACACCACAGGACAGCAGGTGGGTGAGTTGTCTTGTCTGGGGACTTCCCCATTTCTGTGGGAAAAGCCTACAAGTACCAGGAGTTTCATACTCTAACATCATTAGCACACACATCCAAGCAACTCAGTAAACATTTCCAAGTTAGCTTTTTCCTATCTTAAATACCATGCTGTGAGTGTCACCTGCCCTAGGAAGTATAATAAATGGTCCCTAGTTCTCTCTACAGGCCCCTATTTTCTCAGAATTTAGGTTTTTTCTCTGTGACGTCATCTCAGATATTCTGAAGGGTTAATTTTTTTGTTGTTGTTTATGTTTTTTGTTAATGAGGTCAGAATAAGATAACCATTTTCTCATTTTTTACATTCCCATGCTTCATATTGGTTTTCTAAATAAAATTCGTAAACTAACACAACATATCAACTGTGCATTATTTGATGCATTTTTAAAAGAATTTGAGAAATATTCACGTACTGAAATGCAAGCAACCATTGAAATCAAGGCATGCCTCATTCACATAAGAACACAGGGACATTATCCAATAATTGTGCTACGTGAAGGAAGCTAAAGAATTAACAGTAAATTTCATGTGATTTCATTTGTGTAAATTGTAGAAGGTGAAACTATTCAAAATTGACATGGAGAAGATCTGATTTTTTCTGAGAATAGGGTGGTGAGAGTAACAAGGTGGTGAAACAAAACTACAGAGAAGTGGGAGGAAAAAACAGAGGTTAATTTAATTGCTAACAACATGATTGAAGTGCTGGTTCAATGTCTGCACACATATATCAACATTTTCCAAATGCTGAACTATACATTTGAATTGACTATTGATTGATTTTTTTAATAAAGCTGCAACAAAAATGAATCTATTGGCTAAGAAAGAGAAAGAAAGAGATGAATATTGGCACTTGAATAATCACAGAATCCTTAAAGAACACACATGTGAACACTGATTGTGTATTTCAAGTAAACACTACAAAAAGCAAAATTAATTAAAGTTGTTATGACAGGTGGGTCACCCTGAAAACCTCACTGGGCATGTCCCACACTGCCCTGGAGCTGTCTCAGGGGAGCAGTCTTCTCCAGTGTTTACAGGTGCAGGCACAGATAATGTGGCTAACTCTGTCCAGATGTGTGATATTGGACACACTGCACAACTGCTCTGTTCTGCATGTAATTTATCTTCTCTAAAAATGTAACATTGACACTCAAATTAAACATATTTGGCAAATATATAATAGTAAATAAGATGATGACTGCTAAATGATTATCAAGGCAGAATCACATAATCTGAAGATATATTTTCCTGAGAGACAGGATTACAGCCAATGTTTTCCAGGACACTCTCATCTGCTCTGGGCCCTGCCCTCTCCTCAGCCGCCCCACCCGAGAACTTGCTATATAGCAGGAGACATGCAAATTGAGCTCTCCCTCTGCTCATGAAAACCAGCCCAGCTCTGACCCTGCAGCTCTGGGAGAGGAGCCCAGCCCCAGAATTCCCAGGTGTTTCTATTCAGTGATCAGCACTGAACACAGAGGACTCACCATGGAGTTTGGGCTGAGCTGGGTTTTCCTTGTTGCTATTTTTAAAGGTGATTTATGGAGAACTAGAGATACTGAGTGCGAGTGGACATGAGTGAGGGGAACAGTGGATATGTGTGGCAGTTAATGACAAGGGTGTCTCTGTGTTTGCAGGTGTCCAGTGTGAGGTGCAGCTGGTGGAGTCTGGGGGAGGCTTGGTCCAGTCTGGGTGGTCCCTGAGACTCTCCTGTGTGGCCTCCGGATCGACCTTCAGTGACTACTACATGCACTGGGTCTGCCAGGCTCCAGGAAAGGGGCTGGAGTGGATTGGACAAATTAATCCTAATGGACGTAGCACATACTTCACAGACTTCGTGAAGGGCCGATTCACCATCTCCAGAGACAACGCCAAGAACTCGCTGTATCTGCAGATGAATAACCTGAAAACCGAGGACACGGCGGTGTATTATTGTGCTGGAGACACAGTGAGGGGAGGCCAGTGTGAGCCCGGACACAAACCTCCCTGCAGGGGCGCTGGGGGCCACTAGGGGGCGCTCGGGACCCACTGAGAATGGGGCAGGTCCCAGGAGCAGGTGCAGGGGTGAATCTATTTCTTAACTGCAGGAGGCAGGCTTGTTTTTGCAGGGCTAAGCAGTCTTATGAGATTGTCATATTTTACTGTGGTTAATTATCATGAGTTTTTATTGAGATTTGCATTTCGGTAATTTTTAAATTTATATGTAGGGGTATTTTTAAAAAATACATGCTTTCAAGAAATAATTTTACTTATTAATTTGCACTTATTCTTCCAGAGTTTTTAAAATATCTGTTGATATCATCAACTACATAGCTATGGGGACATTAATTTACATCCACAGAAATATGTATAAATACACAAACATGCATATATCTGTAGTCTTTTTTATTTAATATAATAAAATAATTATGAAATATGTCCTAAAGAATGAAACTTAATGATTAACAAAATATAAATTATAGTAATCCATAACTGATTTCAGCCATTCTCTATAGTTTACATAAATTGATGTCTATTTGTAAGCTTAAAGACAGTGTACTGCTTATTTTAAAATAGCCAAGAACAAATTACAAACGTCCTTGTCATACACAAAAACATAAGGATTTGAGGATTTGAGGTGATATATATGTCAATTACCTCGATTCAATTATTCTATATTGTATTCATAAATCATTATATAGCTTTGTACCCTATAAATGTATACAACTAAAATTTCTCAATTTTTAATAAAATTTTAATTACATATTTTCGAATCCATCCTATGTCATGAATTTTTCTCCCTGCCCAGGTGTGATTAGATTGTCTTGAGAAACTCATTTACCTTCCTGTCTCCTGAAGCCTTCAGCAAGTAGCTCCTAGGTGGGCAGAAGCAGGCAAACCATGTGTGTCCCTAGAACTTGAAGCCTCTCTCTCCTTGGATTAGGCCACATCCTCAAGATTACAGGACTCTTCAGTTTTTTCAACATGCTGTCGTACCAGATAAGCACAGAAACACCTAATTTCATTATGCTTTGCTTCAATTTTTCAAAACAACATACATGAGACCCTTCCTGTGCTTCAAAATTTCTTCTGAGGACCTTGTATGTGTTACATACTTTCAACTTTTTCTGAGATGGAATACTTACTAGAGATTACTATTTTAATTTATCTCTTAGAATTATTTTTTCCAGAGTCCCCACCCTCCCATTCAGAACCATGGAATGGAGTGGTGCCAAGGATGAGCCGGGTGTCCGGGGCCACCGAATGTGCCAAGTGGGAAGCGGATGCTGAGTGAGCTGCAGGCTTTTGTCAAGGAATTATTTGAAGACACGAAGAACGCAGAAGTAAACAGTAGAGCAGTGGTTATAAGATGCTGGGAATGGGAGGAGACAGAGAGATAAGAAAAAATTTGTTAACAAACGCACAATTACAGGTAGACAGGAGGGACATGCTCTGGTGTCCAGCAGCACAGTAGGGTGACTCCAGTTAGAAATATATTGTATATTTTATGTTTACAGGTAGACAGAAGAGGGGATTTTGTATGCTACCAACACAAAGAACTGTTAGTGTCTGAGTTCATGAATTTGCTCCTTGTTCTGATTTCGTCACACCACATGGCACACATGTATTGAAATATTACACTGTACCCCATAAATATAAACAGATTTCATGTGCCAACTTTAAAAAATTCTTTTAATTAAAAAGAATTATATTGGCATGCATTACACATGATTTAACACAGAGCCAGGAATGAATGCCATTTTTATTTGAAATAGTGAATTTCCTAACAATGTAGTTGCATTCATTTGCACAAGCTGAGGAAATGTGTGCATAGCATGTGATATGTGAGCCCTTTCTTTTCTTTTCTTTTCTTTTTTTTTTTTTTTTTTTTTTTTTTTTGAGACGGAGTTTCGCTCTTGTTACCCAGGCTGGGGTGCAATGGTGGGATCTCGGCTCACCGCAACCTCCGCCTCCTGGGTTCAGGCAATTCTCCTGCCTCAGCCTCCTGAGTAGCTGGGATTACAGGCACGCACCACCATGCCCAGCTAATTTTTTGTATTTTTAGTAGAGACGGGGTTTCACCATGTTGACCAGGTTGGTCTTGATCTCTCGACCTCGTGATCTACCCGCCTCGGCCTCCCAAAGTGCTGGGATTACAGGCTTGAGCCACCGCATCCGGCCATGTGAGCCCTTTCTTGTGCACCACTCTGTCCATGGTGGATGTGTGGTGTGTGTGTCTGTGTATATTTGCATTTGTTCTGCTTGGGGTTCTCTGTGATTCTAGGATCTGTAATTCAGTGTCTTCCACAAAATTGAGAACATTCTCAGCCATTATTTTTTCAAATATTTTTTCTGTATTATAATTTCTCCTTTTCAGATTTAAAACATATATATAATATACTTTTTGATATTGATGTTTAGTTTATTTCTTCACTCTTTTTTCCTTTGCAATTTACTTCGTGAAATTTCTAGTGATGTTTTATGCATATGGTTTCATTTAAAACTGACTCAGCTCTATTGATGGACGTGCCCAAAGCTTGCTCAATGTTTATATTGCACAGCTTTTAACTTCTTATGCATTTCCATTTTTTTTCCTTTTTAGTATTTTCATATTTTAGTTCCCTATCTAGTCTTACATTATATCCACAGTTTCTGTAAGAGATGTTACAAATGAATTGTAGTTACTTTATATATTTTATTTAATTAGATAGTTACAATATCTGTATCATTTAGAAACCTCGTGATGGTCATTTGTTTATTATGACTTTGGCATTTCTCATTGATGTACTTAATAATTGTCGATAGACACACATGTTGGTTTAGACAGTTGATATTGGCTTATTATTTTATTTTATGCACTTTCTGTCTGTATTTGTCCACACTACCTTTGCGGAGCCTTTATTGTGTAAGTGTCTGTGAATCTTCTCAGGGCTACATCTGAAATTTACTTTGGCAGTGGTCGTCAGAGTTGAAGTCTGTTTTTCTGTGTCCCCCAGAGACTTTAGATCCTCCAGTGATACTCTGTTTTTCTTTCCTGCTTGGTTTTGCCTCTTCACAGTGTTTTCTGCCCCAGAGAATCTCTTTCAACTCCCTCAGGTGGATTAAAATATTATTTAACTGACAATTGTGAAATTCGTGGAAGGCAGCAGAATAAATGGAGATTTTCTGGCCTTTCTTGGGTCCAAATTGTGCCTATGAATCTGAGTGTGACCTTTCGCATGTTTGTGAACTTCCTCCAGATGAGACGTTGATATGTGTGTTCTTGCTCTTTTCCTGAGGTAGAGTCCTCTTGTTTTCCCCAGTTGTTCCCTCCCACAACTCCAATGTTCTCTTCTGGTGTTATCACCTTCCAAATTAACTGACCTGACCCACAGATTAAGACTGATTAAATAAAAAATAGAGCGGAGACAATTCTCAGTGGAACTTAGGTGAAGGCCTCTTTTCCCATCTCAGTTCCTAAGGGGTTGCACCAGTGCCATTAAGATGCTGATTTTGGTGGCTGGTCCCTGCAGAGTAATTTCTTAGTTCTGCAGTGGGGATAAGGGAGGTGGGTCTAAATGCATTTCAGAGTGTGGGCTCCTTTTCTCTCTGACAGACACATTGGGACAGAAAGATTTTTGTGACTGTCCCCATTTTGGGGAAAAGGGATTCAAGAGACTAGGAAAGCTCTTCAGTGTGTGGTCCCTGAGAAATTCACACTTCAACACATTTACCACACTTGACTTCAAGGTGTCCAATATGGAAGTGTGTTTTTATCTTGTAATAGCTTACTTTTTTTTTTTTTTTTTTTTTTTTTTTTTTTTTTTTTTTTTTGAGACGGAGTTTTGCTCTTGTTACCCAGGCTGGAGTAGCAATGGTGTGATCCCGGCTCACCGCAACCTCCACCTCCTGGGTTCAGGCAATTCTCCAGCCTCAGCCTCCTGAGTAGCTGGGATTACAGGCATGCGCCACCATGCCCAGCTAATTTTTTGTATTTTTAGTAGAGACGGGGTTTCACCATGTTGACCAGAATGGTCTCGATCTCTTAACCTCGTGATCCACCCGCCTCAGCCTCCCAAAGTGCTGGGATTACAGGCTTGAGCCACCGCACCCGGCCAATAGCTTACATTTTATATGCCATAATCTGCCTCAGTTCAGCTCATACCCTAGCTTTCTTACTCACTGCAAGAACTTGCCTCTCCCTAGATTTCACATTTGATGTTTACCTTGAAACTTCAAGTATCTAAAGTATTTTTTAAAAATTGGCCAGTTGTGGTGCCTCACGCCTGTAATCCCAATATATTGGGAAGCCAATGGGAGTGGATCATCTGAGGTCAGGAGTTCTAGACCAGCCTGGCCAACATGGTAAAACCCACCTCTACTAAAATTACAAAAAAAAAAAAAAATATCCAGGCTTGGTGGTGGGCACGTGTAATCCCAGCTACTCGGGAGGCTGAGACAGGAGAGTCACCTGAACCTGGGAGGCAGAGTTTGCAGGTCAGACCATTACACTCCAGGCTGGGCAAAAGAGTGAGACTCTGTCTCAAAAAAAATGCAAATTCCAGCTTCTCTGTTTATCTATTATTGTTAAAGTTATGGTGGTAAAAAATAAGTAAAATATACTATTCATCTATGTACATTTCTAAGCTGTGTAGCAGATTTTTTAGTAAGACCAAGAGTAATAGAAGAATGCAAATATTATTTAACTGGTTAAGAGGAAAACAAATGATCATAAATGTGTTTCACTGGAATACTATCCATAATTTATAATAAATAAATGCCTGATACACAGAACAACAAGGTAAAATATCAAAGTATTTATGTTGAGTAAAATAAGCCATCTGTGGCGAAATGGAGAAAATACTGACATAAAAAAATAGCTGACACAAATATTTAAAAATGAAATAGGGTGATCAGGGCAAAATGTTTATCACAGCACAATTTCATAAGACAGTATATGTTCCAAACACCATCATTGTCAGCAAACTTCTGCAGGGCACCGTCTTCTTATCTGGGCACAGCCTTCTCCTCAAGCGTCCCGCCCTAGAGCTT